ATATATATATATATATATATATATATAACTTTTGTTAAATCTTAATTCGGGTGTGCATTTGAGGGCCATTAGGTAACCCAGACCTATATATCTCGAAAATGGATCAATGGAAAACAATGACAATTGACAGAATAGTTTGTCATGTTTCAATTTTTTTTAAAGTGCTCCAATCTTTTTCACGATCTGAAGTAGTGTGTGAATATGGGGACCACTTAAAGAATGAGTTTAGTGTACTACCGTAGGCAGAAACAATAACTATATGATGAATATTTAAATTAGTGCACTTACGGTAAAGGACGGTGTACAGCGTTTTATATGCACTAACTTCACTTTTTTTGGAACTTATTGAAAATATTTTTAATGCATCCTTACATTTTGACATGTGACGCTAAAAACGAACCAAATCCCCATATTTCTATTTCCATAATATTTCCATTTCAACACCAATATTGCATGTATTTTGTTTGTCAGCTATAAGAGTATGATGTGCCAGATTATGTTAAGCCAGAAGATGTAAAGAATTGGCAGGGGTTCTATTTTCTCTATGGTTAAACTAAGCATGGTTTGGCCGTTGGCTCCGAGGAGTTCATTTGCCCTTTGTTCAGCTTTTTTTCTTATTGCTGCTGGGTGACCATTTACCCTCCCATCCAAAGGCCGCTAAGGCCGTTGATGTGGCTGCCAGTTAGTCGCCGGCGATTCGAGTGCTTGCATGTTAACGTCATACCCAGGAAAACTTAACTAACACTAATCTTAACTGCCAAAATGTAACCTAAACTGAGAGTAAAACTATCCCCCGCCGGACACCATCCCGGTATTTCCAAATACAGGTTTCGGGGTTAAACTTAAGAGAATTGTGTACTAAAGGGAAATGTTTTCAAACTAGACTTAAATAATCCCACAGAACTGGCGTCTTTTATTGACTGAGGTAAGTTGTTCCATAATTGTGAAGAGGCAACTGAAAATGAACAGCCACCATATGTCTGTGTACGATATTATATGTAATAAAAGGAGGTTCTTTGATGCAGACCGTAAAGTGCGTTGTGGGTGATATGCTGGTATCAGATCCATTAAATACTGCGGTGTATTATGAAGTCTGGTCTAGAATATGACTCAAAGTATTTTGAAAACAATTCGTTTGGAAATGTTCAACCAATGAAGGTTGCTAAAGACAGGTGAGATATGTTCGTTCTTCTTTGTTTTGGTGATGATTCTTGCTGCGCAATTTTGTATTCTTTGCAGTTTAGCAAGTTCACTCTTTGGACAACCAAAAAGTAAACCATTGCAGTAATATAATTTTGATGTAAAAAATGCATGGGTGAGCTTTACTGTGGTAGCCGTGTTTAGATACTGTCTTATAGATCTTGACTTCCTAATAGAGAGTAAATAGTTTTCACAAGTAAAACTAATGTGGGGTGTCATTAACATTGACCTGTCAAACATTACCCTAAATTCTTTACACAGTCAGATGATTGAATGACACAATAACCTATCTTTACACTTTCAAATCGGTTTTTGAAAACGAAAAACATGATGAGATGTGCATAAACTGCGTTTTACTCTCATTAAGAAAAAGAGAGTTATTAAGAGCCCACGCCTTAATATTTTCAATACATGTTGTAATTCATTTTAGCGCAACATCAACTTCGTAAGAAATACAATCGACATACAGCTGTACATCATCGGCATACACCATACAATTCACATTGTACGAGCGTGCAATGCTGATGATAGGTGTGGAGTACAAAAGGAAAAGAAAAGATCCGACTACAGAGCCATGTGGGACACCAGAGGGTCATCACCTCATCACCTAAGCTGTGCTATCTTTTTTATAATGGGTAAAAGATGTTTCAATGAATCTTTCAATAGAGATGTTGGCAGTGGATATAGATTACAGGACTTGTTTTCGATGATGAAATGGTCTTTTTAATGTCATCATCGGTGATAGTTTCCCATTCATCAAAAACAATGTCAACATCATTAGTTTGTTGAGCAGTAAATCCCGCACTGTGGTTCCCTGTATCGTTGATAGAAACAAGAAGGTTTGTGACTTTAGATAAAAAAAGCCTCAGAGAATCTTTCAGCAAGATCTAGGTCTGACCCACATGATGGGAATTTTGGACCATTACTTGCATTGTTGGGTTTACTAATCATTCTAAAGAACTGTTTTTGATTACACTTTTTAATCTTGGCCTTATAGTATTTAGATTTTGACTTATTTAATAGGTCTTTGTAATCCCTGAAGGTACCCTGGTAAATTTCTTTGTGAACCTTTAAATTTGTCTTTCTCCACATACGTTCACGTCGCCGTTTTACACGTTTGGCGTTTCATAGCTCTTTACCATACCATGGTGCTCTAGGTTTAAGAGTAGCTGTTCTTTGTAGCATGTCACAGGTGCATGCGCATTTATAATCTCTGTGAGAACGTTATTGTAATTTTTCTACGTCATCAGTGTCACAATTTGTTAAAATGACCTAGTATCATTAAAGATATTGTTGACATCAATGCTATTAATGTTTCTTCTTTTTGTAGTGATTACCGTGTAAGGAGGTGAACTAATGTTTAAATATGCTATAACAGCATGGTGGTCTGAAGGAAGACCATGACGCAATGAAATATTAAGCACAATGTAATCATCAAGATGAGTGAGAATAAGGTCAAGTATATGACCCTTGATATGTGTTGGACCAGCGACATGCTGGAATAAACCAAATGATTTAGTTATTTGAGAGAATTGTTTCGCCTTAACATTATTTAGTAACTCTACGTGGAAATTAAAGTAACCAATTATCATAAGTTTAGATGAAGACATAACTAACGATTCAAGGAATGTGGAAAATTCCTCAAAAAAATATGGCAGAGATTAGTTTGATTTTTTAGAAGGTGGGGGAAGATATATGATAACAATTGTACACTGAATACTGAATAACAGCTTCAAAGTGTTCAAAACTACTATATAGTGTTATTAACACATGATTTAACAATGAAACCAGCTTTGAGAAGGAGAGCTACCCCTCCTCATCTGTTGCATCGCTCCCTGCTAATTTAATGATAATCAGGAAGGGACTGTTTCAGGTCGGCAATAAAGCGATTATCACGATCGCTCCCCGTTAACCATGTTTCTGTTATTGCCATGATATCAATTATCTGTTGAATGACGAAGTCACACAAAGATGACTTCGACTTTGACTTCATTGAAGGTGAATTCCAAAGTGCCAAACGGGCTTGGCCAGCAAAATGTTTATCTATTAGTAGTGGCTATAACAAAGAGGAACCATTTATCCCACGACTTCTTCTTTCATAAGACGTAGGTGATCTATTCTAATAGGTGCGTACTTTTGGTCCGAAGGGTCTTTGGTCCAAAGGCCGGTTGGTCCAAATGGTATTTGGGCTGCTGGTCCATTGGTCCGAAGGCCCGTTGCTCCGAATTGGTGACCTTTTTTCAGGAATGCAGGTTATACAGCAGTAAGACAATTCATTACAATTTATGGAGTAAATTAAGAAAGACCACTTTTCTAAAACAATATTTCAAATAAATAAATAAATATTTATTATTTTCCCTAACAACATACAAGGCCTCACCAATAAATATATCTATATATTTCCTTTATTTTGCAATTGTACGATAATCTGGCTTAACTCACATCAGTAAAATTCCTCTATCGATTGTGGATAGGGAGATGTTCTCAGGGAGAATTTCAGTTGAACTATTACCAGTAGTATTACGAATTAATGTACTATATTACGAATCATGTCTAGTGTTTCTTTTATTTTCATGTAATGGGCAGTGGTTCCCCCCCCCCTCAGTTTTCCCCCCACCCAGCAGATTTTAAAAATAAACACAATTCGTAGGTATGGAAGGCAATCACCGCCAAAAATACAATTTCAGACAATAAACTTGCAAAGATTTATGTATAATGCCTGTCTCTTATACACATCTAGATGTGTATAAGAGACAGGTATGGAAGGCAATCACCG